CAGCAGAGAAAAGGTGACAAAACATTATTTTACTCCTGTCCTACATTTGTTATAATAATAATATTGGCACTTTTAGACCATCAGTCTTCCAGAGATGCCTAAATATTTTTAAAGCTAGGTTGGCATTGTTCCTTCTAACAGTGACAAAAAGAAAGGTCAGAAACTTAATCAATTCTTCAAGAGAGATTAGCACAATATGACTACACTGTATAAACGCAATATAAGGGGACTAAGTTTGAGCTTTAATTACAGGGCTGCAATCTCTGAGCCATATATCACCACTGTACAAACGTTTCACTTCCAGCATGCTCCACTCAAGCATCTCAGAAGGCTTTAGATATAATTAAAGTGTACCCTCATTAAAAAAAGCTCTCATTTTACATTTGAAATCTAAACTGAAAACATATTTTATGCTTAGATTTTGCAAAGTACACAATTTAAAATCATTAAGATAAATAGAAATCTTCCATTATTTAGACCCACAGAGACACATGCACAGATATTTTCTTAATGACAATTGCAGCTCAGCTTTCATTGTTCTATTGCACAAGAATGAGAAAAAGCAGTCTGTTAGTGGCCCTCTTCTTAAGGGGAGACTCTCGATCCTGGGACAGCTGTAAGGATTCTCACCTCCAGCTGTCCTCCCCTCCTTTCTGCTGGAATCCCCCTTCCCATGGGCAGCTCAGCTGCTCTGGAGGCAGCTGAATGGTTGCTGCTGGCTGCTTAGCGGGAGTAGAAAAACAGGTTTGTTTTGTGTAACTCGTGGTGTGGTGGAACTGCTGCATTTCAGCAGCCATGCTTGCCTCAGAGATAGCAGAGGGACGGGAGTTCAGACTGCAGAAGGTGAGCAGAAGCCCTCAGTGAACATCACCTGAGACAGAAGGAAGGCTCAAGTTTGAACTTCTGCTGTTCAATGTACTCCTGTTCCTATGTACTTCAATGTAATTTACTTGGTTTGGGTTGTACTGGTTGTATTTTTTTTATTATTATTTCTGTAGTGAAGGAGTGAAAGCAACTAAGATGCTCACGAGCTCCATCTGCTCTTCTAAGAAATGTTGTTTAATTGACAGAGCAACACCTGACACCAAAGCTGTGACTGTTCAGCACCATCAGTACCACCTGAAATGCCTCATCCAGTCACAGCTACCCAGCTTACTCTCAATTTCTGTATTCTCTCAACCAAAATTCCTCAATGTACGAACACCTCTATTCTCTAAATGTCAAGTGAGTCCATATTCTACCACTGCCAATCTTTCTCCTTCTCCCTAAATATCATACATCTTACATGAAGCTCAAGTACAGAATGTTACAAATCAAATGCACGAATTTCCCACTAATCTCACCCATTATGTGCAGGATGGCTTCCCTGAAAGAAAAAATACACCAGACATTTTGTCAAAGTGAGAAGCCTAACAAGATCTTTGGGTCTCAAGGATTTAAGGCTTTATCAGAGTTAAATGTTCTTTCTTCTGAGTATACAACTGCATTTTTATGTTACCATTATTAATATAGATTCACTTTTACACACACTCATACACATATATGTATAGTTGGATAAAGTACATAAAGTTCTACTTATATAAAACTCAATGTTTATAATCTATTTTAAAATAAGAATATTCACATGGGGAATTACTCTAGTACAGAAAAGGCAGTAAAATTATATAGTTGCAGATCATTCATTGTATCTCCAGGTGTGCATAAACTCATTAGAAGATTTTCTCTTGCACTGAAACCTCTTCTCTTTCTTACTTCACTAGTCCTGCATTTAAAAGACACCAGAGTTCTGCTGTGTACCCCCAGCATGCTAAAAGCCAGCTACCCAGCCACTTTGGTGAGGGCTAAGGAAAGCTGATGAGCATGATCACCGCTCCTCTGGATGGACCACGGGCTGCCAGCTCCTCCTCATGTGCTGATGCTGCCCCAGGGCTGCATCCTATGGCTGCTCACCTGCATTGCTGGCACCACTGGCCGCAGCCTCATGCACAACGTATCAAGGGTCTCAACAAACTTACACACCTTTTGTTTTCTTTCTAAACCTCATTACTAGAAAGAGCACCTTCCTGCTCTTTAAAGCCTCCCAGCCCTCAGATGAGTCTCATACTAAAGTCCCCTCAATCCATAGTGCTGCAGAACAGAGGGGGCAGCACTGCAACAAAGAAGCAATCGCCTCTGGAAATCGTAATTCCGAACAAAATGCTACAATTTGCAGAAGAATTATCATCATTAAGAAGCAAATATATGCACATCATCATCATTTTGCAGCTGCCCTTTAAAACAGGGAACTAAGGCGGTGTAGTCAATTAAAAGTAAGCAAAGATAAATACTCCATGTACAGAACATTCAAATGCAAACATTCAATAACATCTTCAGAAAATGGGTGAGACCTAAGGGTTTCATTGCCTCGAGATGTCCAATAACTCAGCACTCTATCCCTTTATCCAAAATAACCTTACAGTGAAAACTGTCCACCTGCTCAAACATTAATTAGCGGAGAAATAGCACCAAGATTGAACAAAGTCATGGAATCCATACCACACAACATCGAAGCAACGGACAAAACTGCTATCAGTCAGCCTAAGCGAAGGGAGTTTTGATGCCCCGTTATTTGCCTGATGGAACACTTACATGGGTACACTAAGAAGCACTGGAGTAAAAACATGTAAAGACAATTAACGACAACTGCATCCATGATGATCAAACTACGTAACACTGCTATGTGAAAGGCACAAAATAAAAGCAGGGGAAAAAAAAATAAAGCCTCAGGGAGCAGGAAGTACTTAAAGAAGTAATTCTAGTACTTCTTTAAACATCATCTTTGCACTGGTGAAATTCCAAGGGCTCTTAATTTACTCCATGTGAGGTGAGAATCCGGCCCGATGAATACCACAAACAGAAATGGCTCGATATGGGCCAAGAATACAGCTCTCAACTTTCCACATGAAGATGCATATGCATAAAGAAATAACTAATTTACAAATTAGTTCCTCTGGGGAAGAGCAACGTCCTGAAACTGCGTCCAGCCGCTGATGGATGGTATGCAGCAGGGCCCTGGAGCAACAGATTGCCCAGCTACTCACACACGTCATAACGCTCAGTTTCTGTGTTACTTTGCAAATTACTCAGCAGCCCACAGTTTTTTAATATTAACTTTTCACTAAAAAAAAAAAAAAAAAAAAAAAAAAAAACCTCCTCAAACACCATCTTTAAATAAAAATGCATGCAGACAGCGAAACAGAAAAGCAGAACTGCAAAACCTCATGTAACAACCCTGACAGCTGCAGCAGCGGGGCACTATCAAAGACGACAGCATAAAAATTAATCACTGTTTCCTTGTTAATGTTGCTTCTATCAGTTTTCTGTTCAGGACTTCTTGCATGAAGACACAGTTTCAGAAACGTGCACAGTGCTTCCATTAAAAACATTGGGTTGACAAATAAGGAAATAAAGCCCCCTTCTGAAGTTACAATATGCTCGAATTCCCTTCTCCTGCCATCCACGAAATTACCCACAGCCTTTGTCACATCTTCACTCCTCACTCTGCTCTGTCCGTAGCTCCTGGCACTTATTAGGATCCTATCACCTTTTCCTCATCAGGTTTTCCAAAACCCATCACTTGCTATCAACTACAGCTCAAACTCATCCCTTGTGCTGCAATGCTGTATCTGTGTTCTGCTGTAACTTTCTCAAACTAATCTTCTCCCAATTTTTTTTTTTTTTAATTCTGATCCCCCTTTCCATATGACACATCCATAGATGAATTTAAGAATGCTGCAGTCTTTCAGCTATTTGTCTTTTAAATACTGTCACTATGACATAGCCTATTGTGTCAGTATTTCTGTCAAGTTTATGATGTCTCCAAAAAAGTGAAGTATCTTCGGATATCTGTCAGTCAGCACCATTTAAGATATGCACAAGTTATTAGGGGAGCACAATTATTTGCGCACATTTGAAACAAAGGATGAATAATTCTTCATAAGAGAAGAATAGTTCTTAAGACACTGAACACTAGCTGTCGTTGGTTCTAAAATCAGCTCCCATTCAAACCAGTCGGTTAGCAAGGACTCTTTAAAACTGCTTTCCAAATCTCTATTGTTTGTCCTGAGTTCACGCTCAGTGTCAGTCAGCAGCGCGGTCTGGAGTGCAAAACTTGCAAAACAGAAATTTGCTGACAAAAGATCTGAACAGCGAATAAGAAATGGAAACGCAGGCTGAAGCAGAATTACAGCATCGCTGCAGAAATAAACCAAAAGTAACTGACAAAAACGCCAACGGTCACGAACACGGCAGCCACTCCAGCATCCTTCCTCAGCAAGTTGCTTTACAGAAGATGGGAACCACATGAAATCCTATTAGAAGGTGCTGAACTCTCGCATTGTGTCCCTTCCGGTAGGCTTCTACATAACAAAATACAACCAAGTAGCCTACAACTTTTTCACTCTTATTATGCAAAATCCTTATCAGCTTCAATAGCATGACATCACCCCGAATCCTGACTCACAATGGCAGAGAGCAGGTCAAGAGATGTCCTCTTTGTTTTAGTTTCAAGTGCTTTTCAGTCTATTAGCCTTGAAAGAAAAATAACCTTAACAGAGCTAACCGATAAAGATCAGACCAGCCCGAACAATGGGAAGGAAATTGAGAGTTAAGGCGACGCTGGGTTGAGAAACGCAGCCGCGGTGCCGAGCTTCGGCCGGCCGCGGTCAGGCCGTGCCCGCCGCTCCGAGCAGCGCTGCGACCCGTCGTGGCTCCGCTTAGCGCTACGCGGCGGCGTGCGGCACGCGATCCCCACAGCCGCGAGGACAAAGGATGCGGTGACCGGGGGGAGGGGGACAATTAGTCCCAATTAGACCTATTTCGCAAGGAGCGGGAGGCCCGCTGGAAGGGAGCTTGGATTTTAAAGGCACGGGTGCCTCGGGCAGGTAGCAGGGCGAGCGGCGCAGAGGCGGGTCTGCGGGGACGGACGGACGGACGGACAGACAGACATCGGCAATACTTACATGTGCACGTGTGGAGGCTGGAACCTGCTCTGGTTGATGTTGTAGTGCGTGAAGGCCTGCGTCGGGTTGGAGCTGTACTCATCCACCGTTATGGTAACTTTGCCTTGTGAAGGAATTCCATGAGCCATCCTTCCTCCTTATGCACATGAGCAACTCACAGCTTCCCAAGGCCGAGAGCAGGGCAGGGCATCGTGTTCCTGGCAGCTCCCCAGGCCGAGCAGCTCCTCGCCAGCAGCCCCGAGCTGTGAGGAAACAGCACATGCTCAGCTGTGGGGAGATGGAGGCACGCACGGACACATCGCTCCCACCTCTCCACGTTTCCAGACAGAGATCTCCCTTCCCCGTCCCCCCGTTCCCCCGTTCCCCCCCTCCCCCCGCTGCTGTACCCCTCGCTGTACCCCTCGTTGCTACCCACAGCTGTGCTCACCACATGAACACCATCATCACTACGTGGGCTGGGAGCATGGATGCTTAAGAACGGGTTGTATTTTCCGGAGAACAAACTGTGTGGAAAGCCCCAGCTAAGCACTCCACACTTAAAATTCTTTGTTTTGAGTGACGCCTAATTGCAAACATGAAAACTAACAAGCAGACTGTTTTCCTGAAGGACACGAATTGTTCCTGGGGCTTCACAGAAGGAGCCATAGCTGAGGGACTGCAGGAAGCAGACACCAGGCAGAAAGTCCTACAGTTATGAAGCAAAAAACGCACACAAATACCTTTGAAACGATGTATGCATCTGCCTGGAAGAAGGCTAGCATATAGAGAACCCTAACAAAATACCCACATTACGGTCCAGTAGCACTGAAACTGGTTTGGATTCATCAGCAGGCAGTAATGATTTATCGGATAGATTTAAGTGCAATTTCATGCGTAAATATTTCTGCCTGAGATGAAAGAAATGTTTTTCTTCACTATGCGTGTCCTTATCTTTCTCATCTTCAAAGTGCTCTTAGATACGTTTTTGCACTAAGGCTGGAAGCATCCTGTGACACGAGAATGAGGAGAAAGCCACAAATTTCCCAAATCCTATCTCCGCTGAGTTTCCCCTCCGCTCCCCCCAGAACCAGAGCCTCAGTTTCCTGCACCAATAAGCTCAGGATGCCCCACGGCCCGCCTGCCTTCAGAAGGACTTTGGGAAAATTGCTCAGCGGATTTCTGCAGAATACTTTCAAGATGAGCAACTCTTCAAAGCACTGTTGCAGAGCTTCAGCTGGGGCACACTACCAGAGCTGCAGCACTTCAGTGAAATGCTGATACCCCGTAGCAGCTGACTTACTCTTCAGTTTCTACACACACCGGTGTGTAATTTACAGAACCAGCAAGAGATAAGAAAGAGGAGACTTCCAACACCCGAGCATCAAACTGAGCAATGTTTTTTCCAGTGTGATATTCTCGACTTCTCTTAGCTTCCAGGCCAAAACGTGTTTGCCACGTGTAACGTTTGGAACCTTTGATTTGCATTCAAAATATATTTTGAATACAAAGACTCATTTCCAGTTTGGCATGAAGTACGACAAAACTGCCCTGCAAATGGCAGATGGCCTGCTATAGGCCATTTATTTTATTATTTTACAACCTCAGGCCTACGTAGGCTTCCATATGTTAGCTGGGTTAAGACATTCGGCAACCTCCATTCCAGTAATTGGGTTCTATTCCTCATCTCCTTCATTGCTTAGAGAGAGGAAAAAAAAAAAAAAAAAAAAAAAAAGGCCAGATGAAACTAAACCATAAAGTTCCTATTTAAATAGAGCAATCAGTGAGACAGTACTCCCCAGAAGCTGAGGTTATGCTCTGCTCTTTGCATTAACCCCCTCTCCCAAGGATAAGCAGAAGAGTTTTAGGGGTAAAAATCAGCAAGGTGAGCTTTATTAGGCCAAATCTTTGCTATGTTTTAAGATAATGCAACGACTGCTTAAATGGTTACCATCCCGAGTTTGCAGCTGTTTCCTTAATTTCCCTTACAATTATATTTCGGTGTTATTTTGCATAACAGTATAAAAAAAAAAAAAAAACACCTGCTTCAAATTGCAGCCCTGTTCCAAGAACTGTAATTCTTTTGAGATACAAACTACAAAGTGCTCGCAACACAGGACTGCATAATTGCCCTGCACTGAAAAGTAAATACAAATGAAAACATCTTCCTGTTGGAAAAATGACTGTCATTAACAAGCAGGCTCCCCATCCAGGCCCCGAGGAAAAAGACCAAGTTTTGCTTTTCGCAGCAAGAACTTCAGCGTTTGCATAAATTAAGTCGAGTGAAAATTACATGTCTAATGTTATTTTTTTTTGCAATTAAAAGCTACCATACAAAACACGCCAAACCAGTAGAAAACATGCTTGGATATTTAGAAAAGCTAATTCACAGTGTTTGAGGTAATCTAGCATAAGAAAGGTCAGGGCATTACATTCCATATTATAGTTTGCTCACAGAAAAAAAAAAAATCCAATTTGTTCACGAGAGGGAATTGTACATAAAGACAATAAGCATTTTTATAAAGTTCATAATAATCTACATTGCTGAAAAATTACAACAAGCTGATGTAAAACAAATGATTAAGGGGTACTTGAATAGCTGCATTAAATACTTCAAAATTGACTTTCAGAATGATTTTAAGCATAGGAGCTACAATTGCTTCCCACTGCACTAGCCTTGAATGTTGAGAATGAACTCCAGTGCTTAAATTAACAAAAAGCCGAGGAGCATCCTTGGGAAATGAAACCCAGCAGACACCGCCGGGCTGGAGAAGCACCTCTCACCTACTGCCAGTGCCCAACTGGGTGCTTATTTAACGGAGACCTCGCAAAAAAAAACAAAACAAAAAAAAAAAAAACCTAAACCACCACCACCGAGGAGGAGCTCAGCACTCCTGCTCTTTAAAAACACGTTCATCTGGAGCCTAAGCCGTCCGTCTTCTTCTTTCATTTAAGGCTACTTTGAGTCCCTCCCGTTTTTTCTCTAAACGTACTCACTCTCCGAAGATTACAGGCAGGAGATGAGGACAAAATAACAGAAGTTGCATTATCTCCCTTATCCGTGAAGGGACTCCGCTCCGCCCGCGCCCTACGGCAGTTCCTAGGAGAGGCGCTGCCGCAGGTGCAGCCCGGCACGGAGCACAGCCTTACAGCCGTACAGCCGCAGCCCAGGAGCAGCGCAGCCCGGCCGGCTGTGCGCACCGCCACGGAGCCGCACTGTGCAGAGCCGGGCACCGCCGCGCCCCAAACCGCCGGGAGCCTCCTAGCATAGGAGCTCTGGCACGAGCCGACATGCGGCTTCTTTCAAACCGAACGCGCCACCGAAGTATCAGAAAACTAGCACGGATAAGTCATGAAACCACGGCGCTGCGCTGAACGGAGAACTGCGCGGAGAAGCTCTAGGCACGCACACGCACGTCGGTGCATAAAAAACCCGCGCTTCCCTCAAATATAAACGCTGACGCTCCCTGACTTCAATTGCAGAAAGCGTCCCATCGGCCGGCACCGCACGGCACCGCTTCCCGACGCGGCCCCGGCCCCGCGCCTTCCCCTGCCGCTCGTTACCGCTCGCTCCGACGACGGCTTCGCGGAACGACTCCGGGCTCCTTTCGAGCCGCGTCCACGCGCCGCCGAACACAGGAGGGCCAAAGCCGCCGGCAGCCCGCGACCGGACCCCGGCCGCCCACCTCCGCCCGCCGCCGGCTCCCGGGCCGCCCCGGCCGCGGCCCCGCGGGGCGCCGGGCTCGTCACCCCCCCCC